CAGAGCTCTGGCTGTTGCCATGGTGACTGGGTTGAGCAGTGGGGGCCTCCAGTGCGGAGCAATTTATCATTTTAATAAGAACTATGTGTTTCAAGGGGCGGGTCTGGGCTCACAATCACACAGACATTCAATTCATTTCATGACATTGAATGAGTTTGAAAGATGAGAGGTTGAAATGGATTTTGAGCACTGATAAAGTTTCCTTTATTTTAAGCTGGAAGGTGTATGGCTGGGTTTATTATGTCATAACTAATGTAATCATTTTTCAAAAGACTAAAGAAAAATGAGACAGAAGACTCTGTGGAATAATGTCTCGTAGAAATGTTATTCAATTTGAAGCCGTCACTTTGTTTCATTCCTTTTAAATTCTTCTGTTGATGGATGAGAGATGAGATGGAAATTGTTCTTCTACTAAAATCTTATCAGATGATTTACTAATGGGTTTTGGATATTTAGACCACAATATATTTCTCATTTCATCAGCCTGTTCTTCAACCGTTGGCAGGAGATTACTTGACCTCATGGATCAAAGTATGCAGGAGTCCAACAATAAAGGAAAATAGATAAAATAGTATCTGCTAACTCAACCACCCATATGCACACCAACATACAATGTGATTGTTTTTCCTCATAATTCATCATATGTATGTGTCTAAAATAACTAGAAGAAGAATGCAATCAGTCGTCTGCTGTAAAGGAAATAGCGGGTGATGACTTTTGCTCGTCCCTTCAGTATTCAGTTTACTCACCCTGATTAAATTCACATTGATTAAATTTTCAAGAGCTTTAATGAAGACAGCAGCCCTTTGATCTCCAGGTGCTTCGGCTGCTCAAAGCTTTTATTTTGCAAAGCACTTTTACAGGGTATCGCACCAACTCAGGTGGCCAAATGTCACACGTTTTGCAGAACTTTGAGGAGTGGATCAATTCTCAATGCTTATGACTCAAACAGGTATAGTGGACGCAAAACTGGTCATTATGAACTGGACCCTCAAAATGGGTCACACCGAAAGTTTGGCAAAAGTAAGAGACTAACACTTTTATAAAAAAAAAAAAAAAAAAATGTGTAAAGACTTTTACAATGTTACATGTTTCTAAAGTAAATGCTGTTCTGGTTTAACAAGAATCCTGGAAAAAGCAAAACGCTTTCAACTGTTCAACATCGACAATAATACAATTTTTTTTTTTTGCACCAAATCAGCATATTAAAATGATTTTGATTGTGTAACTTTTTATGTAATTTATTATTTAAAATCAATATTTTTATTCATAAATATGTCCTCGATGGTGTACAAATACCTCTGCCAATTATCTGACTTATCCTCGTACACGAAGAATTTATTATCTTTATATGGGACGGGGAGTCCCCACGGAGGCTTCCATGTTCCGCCATCTTGAAAAAGTATAATACCAGAGAGGGACATAAAGTACTAGGCCAACGCGTTTCCACAACGCGTTTTTGTTCAGAGCCAGTGTGACGTGAATGAAAGCAGCAGAAGCGGAGGATCAGAGCAGTGAGAAGCACTTCACTGCCCCGGCAAGTTTAAATGGCTGAATTGCAAATCCTCATTGCCAGAAACGTCCAAAAAAAAAAAAAAAGATTGTAAAAGGAAACGTGACCGGAGATTACAAAAAACACGAGTTAATGTCGGGATAGCTTTTTCCAGGTGGATAGAGCTAATGCGAGTTCAAAAGAGACGCTGAAGTCCTGCTTTCTTCTTGACAGGTAAGGCAATGTTACAGTCTTAATTACAAGCTTTTTTTCCTTGTTTGGTTGTGTACTTTATTATATAGACAGATGAACATTTATAGTCAGCCTAAAAGTTGATGATGATATATGCACGTACTAGGCTACTTCAGAAAATATAACGAATAAAGGCTGAACAACTTATTACAATAGTTCATGTTTTTCACAGTCAGTAATTCTTACTGTAACATTGTTTATTCGTTGTTTCATGTTTCTGTTTGTTTGAAATAACAAACCTGTTCACCCGAAGGAACACTCGGCGAAGTGCTAATCCTGTCACAGCTTTTTGGTACATAATGGCTACCGTAGATGCAACACGCATTTGAAAAAGCAAAACGCTGGAGAGCACAATTCGATTGAATGCAAAATACATTTTCACCGCTAGATGGCGGTTTCCTACACAATTCCTACACAATGTCACTTTCATTGCACTTCTTTCTTTTTTCTTTGAAGGTACTCTATTGGTCTTGCATACGGCAGACCCAAGGCGTCATTACCTATATGAGTAGAACTGATGAATGTAGACTCATTACTTTACTCTATATCATTCTCTAAACAGTGAAGTCCCCCTGTGGTGAAAATCCAGCTTTTAATATTGTTTATATGTCTATAAGAAAAAAACATTCGCAAATTCACAAGACAAGACCATTGCTGCAGTGAATCAAAGACAGTCTCAAAAATGCAGTTTGAATTCGCTTGTAACCAATTATGTCAATATGTGATCGTCGATAAGTGGATCTCTGAGCTGGTGTGAGTGAGTGGAGGCGGGGCTAATTTGCATAGAACTGGCAAGGGTGTAGAGTTACATTCAAGCTATTTTAAGGCATTAAGAATTTTTTTCAAGGAAAAAACAGTTTAAATATGTAATTTCTGTGATCAAAGATTAGTTTTTAAGAGATACAATTATTGGGGGGACTTTAAAGGCACTGTAAGTAGTTTGCCTCACTACAGGTCACTTATTCAAAACAATAACAAAGGCATAGCTTGCTGACACCATGAGTGTGTGGAATCCTTGGAGTTGTGGTCTTCACCTCCACAGCTGATGGAATGCAATCCGACGGGAGAGTTTTTGAGTTTTAGAGTTTTGTTGAGTTATATAGCAACCGATAACGGTTTCCAAAAACTTGCTCACATCAGTCTAATAAAACATGTAATATAAAGCGTTTCTCCGGAAGTAAAAACAGAAATCGAGGGTAAAGCGTTGACACGGGCTACACTGGTTAAAATTGCTGATTTCTCTGGATTCAAACATTGTCGGAAACCTTTAGGTTAAGGTAAGTGCAAGAGTCAACTAAATATATAACATTGTTCTAGTGGTTTTTGGATATTTGAATCCAAAATCGTACATATGTCCTTTTAAGCATGTCACATTAAATTTCACTGTAGTCATGTTTCACTATAATAGAGAACAAACAATATCCTTAATCTGACTTCAAAGGGGCATTTTCTATACCATACTGCTCAATTCTTCAAGGTTTGGCAAGACATCAAGCTGAAATCAAATCTTCCTCCACACAAACACACACGGATGCTGCCGCCATTTTCACCCCCACTCCTCCAGAAATTTACTCAGCAAAATCAGGAAGGCTGGTCGTTTGAGGAAAATCCCTTATTCTACATCACCGGAGTGCCACTCAAACGGATTGTTTTGTTATTACAGAATCAGTGCGCTAGAATGAAAAAGATTAGCCTCATGAGTGACCATTTAACCCTGGCCACAGAGGCCAAGAAACCACCCAAATGGCATTTCACACCCACCTCCACCACCCCACTGCTTCCACTGCCACTATTTCTTCCTTTGTGTCTTCTTTCTCTCGGAGCGAGAGGGAGAGAGGGACTCACGTTGCACTCCGAGAGAGCTGGCAGCGTTCCAATCCCCTGCGACAGCAACATTTCCATTGATCAGAGCAAATGGAGACATGTCAAGTTACCACGGCAACTGGCAGGCCAGTGAGGCAGATCCGTGTGGCTGAAGAAGAGTCGGCCTGAGGAGCATCAAGGTGGAGCTGCATGTGTGGGGAAGATCCAGTGCATTAAACATGCTCAATAAGTCAATGCTATGTTATATTAACATAAGAGATTCGGTGTAGCTATAACTATGCATTCGACTAGAATGTGAATATTTCTGACAGTGTTCGCTCGTTTATGAAGGCTTGAAGGTGTGATCTTGTTGTGGAAGTCAGACAGATGGAATATTTTTCTGCTTCCTCTATTAGTTAGGAGGATAGAATCGTGCTCAACTTATGTATTTCATTGATTTATAAATTTTCAATGATTTATCACTCATTTCAAAATGATTTCAGATTCCTATGGTCATGGTTATATTTCTATGTTAAGAGCTGGTGATGTACTCCATCTACAGGCTGCCTGCCAAACACACAACTCAACTGCAGTGTCGGCTGAAATATTGTGTCATCATAATATAATATGAAAATAACATAACTCATGTCAAATTATCCTCTGTGCACTCAATAACATGCATAAAATATTCACTGCAATTTTACAAAATCAAAAATAAACAGATTTGATGATTAAAAATAAGATTAAATATATATTTATTTATATTCAATGGAATACAATCTTTAAAATAAAATTAAATAAATAATATAGGGTATCATAAATAAGCTAATATATATATATATATATATATATATATATATATATATATATATATATGTAGTATATAAACAGTATATAAACCTATATATAATAGCCTATTATTGCATACATATTTAGATATATTCCCCATATTTATTTGTGCATTTCAGATTGGGCAATTGATAAACAGATTAATAATTATGAGAAGTTCTGTAGAAGCACTTACACAAATTGCACAAAAAAAGGGAATGATTTCCAATGCCATTTTAACTTTTCAACGCCCGTTTTTCCAATCATTGTATAGCAGAAGTGCACATTAGATTATGCTACAGTAATTTACTTTCTGAATGAACAATGAAGTGGTTAAAGAGGTTACAGAAACATGAATCATGTTTTGTCTATTTTAAAAATATAGCAGCTGTGTCAAAATAAATGATTGAAATAAATGACAAATTCAGAACAGATTTAATATAATTGTACAGTGAATATATTTTTAAATGCAAACTTGAGAGTTCAATCAACAGACTAAATAATTAAAAATATATATATAAATAGTATTTGCAGCGTAATGTTAACATATTCACATAGACTCATCGTACCTTCTACGTCCATGGGAGGGCGACAAATCCCAAATTAATTACCACACTGGGCGAAATATCATTTAATAAAACATCTACAGCATACAAAACTCAGATCTCTGAGAAACCGGACTCCCTTAGAGAGATCATAAAGAGATATTACCACAGTGATTAGCTTTAGAGCTCGTTGACACGGACGTGAAGTGTTTTTTTTTCTTTCTCAGTTTCGCGGTGGACAGAGATCATAAGGCAGTGAGGGGCAGATTCAGGGGAGGGACGCCAGCAGCAGCAGCAGCAGCTCCCGGTCTCACCGCTCACACACAGGGAAGAAGACACAGGGCTGACACTGATGGTGCTGTGCATCTGATAAAAACAAACTAACGGGAGAACAAACCTGAAATTTGAGGGGAAACAGCACTGGGACAATATGCAGTGAGTATAGCAACTATTCTTCATTCAGTGGGCAGGCCAGTGTGTCGCTGGCCCTTTTAATGAGTGAACGGAGCCACACCTGCAAAACATCCCAAGCTCTGTTCTTTTTGTTGTTCCTATATGGCACAATTAAACGGCATATTTGAATTAAGGCTTCATTTTTAATGTTACAAATGTTAATGTTTAAAACAATGATGGTTTAGAGCTATATTGTATTATTTTATTTTATTTTTTGCTGTAATGTGTATCTGTACAGCGGATAACGGTATGACATCCAGGGGTGAGCAGCATCCAGCACACATGCGCTCTATATCCCCCGTGCTGACAGAAATAGGTTTCTCCTTCATGCCATTGACACATAGTGCAGTTGTTTTCATGGCTAATTTAGAAGCAGCATGTCTCCTTTTTAATCTCTGAGGAACTTGCTATTCATCTTACATACAGTATCGCGTACTGTATTTAACCTGTGATTCGGTCATTGGCACGAGGCTACTAAGCTGCCATGCTTAGATTCAGTGCTACAGAGCGGTTAGCCGACCTATAAAGTAAGCAATATGAGACACTACACACTGAATAGAGAAACCAGCTAATTTCTTTTAATATTTCATCTCCGCCAATGGAAATAGTTGGAAAAGAAGCCTGAACAGTGTGCTTTGGGTTTGGTTAACTTCTTTTCTGAGGTCTAGGTCCGCTTGTTTGTTGGTTATCAGGGTTCGAATGGCAGTGTTCACACTTGTTCAACTGAACCGCATTAACAGAACAATCAAACCAGAGTTAGTTTTACTCTAAACATGGTGAGTGTGAACACACCCTAAAGAAGCAAGGCACTGGAAGTGTGGGACACTTTATATGAATTCAATGGATTTACAGAGCTCTCCCCTCTGCTCAAAGCATCACTCCACTTATGTCGAGTTCACAGTTCACACTGAGCGATTTTAGGCCCGATTTTCGCCCCCTGACAGGTTTTGGGAGATCGCTAACAAATGCCTGTAATCATAGGCAAATCGGTGCTCGTGAGTGACAATCACACAAGTGTGAATTATCAAAGACACGATGCCGATCCATCGTGCAGTGTGAACACAATCAGGAACTGAATGATACCCCATATAGTCACTCAGTGTGGAAAGAACAGTGACCTGACTACTTTTAAAATCGTGCAGTGTGAACTCTGCATAACTGTGCATTCACACCGCACGTCATTCATTTTCAATGAAAGCCGGCGGCGAGCTCTGGCGAGGGCAACGCGGCGCGTCTTGGACGGTGAGGGCAGTGAGGAGAGTTGAAATCAGTTCATACTGTAAGCAATGAGTTCGGTTCGGCGGCAACCAGCGACAACCAATCGGAATGTAGAAGTGCTCCATTTGAGAGAATCCCAGAGAACGCAGTCCTGTAAATTTTAGTTCCGACCACATTAGCTCCCAAGCAAAATAGAGGAGGTTGATCATTTGAATTTGATAAGAGGGCAGACAACACTATTTATAGGCAAGATTTTCGTGCTAGAACACTTTTTCAGCGGGAATGCAAATTATAATAGCACTTAACCATGAACACAAAAGCCACACCACACACATATGGCTTTTAATTTGTTTATTTAATTAGCAAACATGTCACTATAATTTTAAAGTTATTTCCATCGATCAACTTTCTGCAAAAATAACGGCCGACATGCTTGTTTGCTTTGCTGCCCCTTTAAACACAGTTTTAAAAAATATCACGCATTCGATCTACGCCAGAGCATCAGAGCGTCCACGAATCTTTCCACGGTGTCGTTGGTAAGGCGAGTTTTTTGTACATGATGCTTGATATTAAGCAATCTGGTATTTGTTGTCATGTTATTTTAAGTTATTCTCAACATCATGGGTGATGGGACTTTTTTTCTCTGTTGCTTACTCTGAGCTTTAACTTATATTGCTGTGCTGATGTTTTCTTCGAGCAATACACATCTTGTTTATTGCAACACCAATATTTGTTTATTTCAGTAAATTGTACACTTAATCAAACTTTGCAAGTTGAGTAATGCAAGACATTGAGAAAGACAAATGATAGTTGTGATGTGATGGCAAAAAATCATTTCTTCCATAAAGGAAAAAAAAAATACAATCTGTCTATCAATTGATGATTGAATCGAGGCAGATCTGAATGCAAGCTTGCAGTTGATCGTAAGGGTCACATCTGTAGTTCGGTTCATTTGGTCCGGACCAAGGGCGAAAACTTATACTTTGTAGCATTTTTCAGGGCTTTTGGTTCGTTTTTACACCACTCTGGTCCGAATCAGTTAATGAGTTGATGAAACGAAACAAAATATAGTCACGTGACAACATCCACATTACTCGTTGGCCAGATATGTCTTAAACATATTTCCATTACTGCACTTCCCCTTGTAAACAACAAAGTATATATGCGATATAAGAGATTCACTGTGAAGTGCGGACGACTTCAGTGTTTATTATGAGTTTTAGTGAGAGTGCAGAACGCGGTAAGTCAGTCATGGCTTAAAGGGTTGGTTCACCCAAAAATGAAAATTAAGTCATTAATTACTCACCCCCATGCTGTACCAACCCCGTAAGACCTTCGTTCGTCTTCGGAACACACATGAAGATATTTTTGATTAAATTTGAGAGCTGTATAACTACCACATTGGCTCCTAAGGGACTGCCTCTTGACGGCCCTTGTAGGCCAGAAACGAGACTTCCTTAGATTTCCACGACGCATGCGCGAGAACTGAACTGAAGTAGTGTAAGGAGATCGCAATTCTCGCGCATGCGTCGTGGAAATCTAAGGAAGTCTCGTTTCTGGCCTACAAGGAAGAAAAAGAATAGTCGAATAAACTCGTTATTTTTGTTTGTTTTTTCGCACAAAAAGTATTCTCGTCGTTCGATAAACATAGTTGAGCCACGGTAGTCACTTGGGATATTTAAACATTTTCTTCATTGACTTTCTGGGCCGTCAAGAGGCAGTCCCTTAGGAGCCAATGTGGTAGTTATACAGCTCTCAAATTTAATCAAAAATATCTTCATTTGTGTTCCGAAGACGAACGAAGGTCTTACGGGGTTGGTACAGCATGGGGGTGAGTAATTAATGACTTAATTTTCATTTTTGGGTGAACTAACCCTTTAAAGGGAGCGCTATTGACAATCTAAATAATAGTTTTATTTGATTACGACAGCTGTTTTAGTCCAAAAATGCACAGTTATTTGGCAGTTGGCTCTGTTCGAGGTCAGATCACGTTCTCACCATAAACGAACCGCTCCAGAGTTTGTTTGAAAGCGTGCCGCTTTTGGTACGCACCCAAGTGCGACTGCTGCCTTCACACCTGCCCAAACGAACCACACCAAAGGGGAAAACGAACTCTAGTGCAATTCAACCGAACTAAAAGAGGCAGGTGTGAAAGCACCCTAAGAAAGGGGTGGGGTTTAAGCAGACTAAATGATTGAAAAAGTCTGGCGTACTAAACCAGAGAGTGAAGTAGTTTGTCGTTTCACTGGAATATTTGTGTTGTGATATTTTGGTTAAAAATTGCATGCATATGCATAAATAAATGATCCTTAATGAGATCATTAAGATGCATTCAGAAAATAGGTTCCATTTTATGGTGATTTCAAGCATGTCAAATGAAAAGATTTATTGGGAGTACATAAACAATACACGAAAGATTTCTGTCTGACTGATTTCTGAAAGAATGCAGTGAGCTCCATTGATGTCAAACAACCTAATAATCCATGCACTGAGAATCCTGTTTCCCTCTGTGAAAGTGAGAGGATACATACATCATGACCAGGGCTTTAGCTAGAAGAGCAGAGACAACTGCCGGCAGACTTAATTACTCTAATGTACTACACCAGAGGGAGAGAGATGAGGGGTGGGCTGACAGTTGCTCCTGGAATCTGAATGAAAGGCCCTACCCATATCGGATGACACATGCCTCTCCATTAGTGACTCGCACGAGTCTGTCTTAAACCCCATAAATGACCACTCCGTTCAGGAGAGGATGAAATTAGGCACTGTTTTATTGGCACAATGGAAATATCTTCCCTGAAATATGATAAGACCTGCTTTTAGCTGGAAAAAAAATGTGGCGGTAAATGTATGTATAATCCTATTGTGTATTTTGGGTACTGCACATTGCCTTTTTATGACCGGTGCAGTTGTGGTGAAATTTGAGTATGATAAAGCTGCTCATTTTCCTTTTCACTTCAAGTGTATAGTCAATCTCTGTTAATCTCGGGCTTCATTGAGAAGGTTGAATGGCACATCATTTCCTGTTGATGTTGCTTTGAAACTCAGCATGTGTACCATTTCTCCACTGTCATCCTTTCCTCTTGCTTATGAAGTGCTGATTTCTGCCACATGTGTTAAGGAATGCTGGGAAGCTTCAAAGGATTCATCAGACACCGTGTCTGAGCTGAGCCCTAATGAACAGGCCTGAAACTGCTTGGTCAGGGTTCCTCAAAGAAGGATGAAAACTTAGTGAGAACTAAAGCGAATTAGGGTCTTATTATGCTTTTCCTGGTTTTCACCTTTAGTTAGTGTGCAGGCATGTACTGGCCATCGGGACTACCGGGACATTCCCGGTGGGCCGCGGTCTGGTTGGGCCGGCGGCCCGGCACGTTATGTATTTTGTTTTTAAATCATTATTAATTGTAAATATATTCTATCGTAAGTATATTGTTATATTGTCCAATTCCGGGCTTATGTGTTTCTCTCATGAAGCCGCATGAAGCTGACGCGAGCTGCGAGACTAACAGGTCTGATGGCCAATCGGAATCAAGTTCAAATCTAGACTTGAAAAGCGGCCGCTTTACAACAACTGCAGTGATGCGATGTGATGATGTGCAACGAAATTCATGTCAAAAGAATAACATCTCTAAACGTAAAGGGGGACCGAGAAGTTGAGAGAGAAAAAACGACAAGACAACGACAATAACTTGAGGCAGATTCCACCAAATGTGTTAAAATAAATGAATTATTTGCTGGACTTTAGTGAAGATGTCAGCAGGGCG